TAGGCTGCAAACTACGCAACGTAGCATTGAAACATGTCTGTTGGGAATGACAAGAAAAGATTCGAAGACAAATGAATAGAAAGCACAAACAGGAGTCTGCTATATCACTGCCCGAGCGAAGAAGTGAATGGGCAGCACATGTTCAAGAAGAACCGACCATCGTTGGACTGGCAGTTATTAGAAGGACCCTCGTGCGGCATTCGCTGACGAAGATGGTGATGAAATTTCATCAGAAAAATTCGTAAATATAAAAACAGTGCAATGCATCAAGAAATATTTACTGGGTACCAGGTTCATGGAAAACTTCGTTATTCTGGTGAAACGAAGTGAACTGGTAACCTTAAAATTTTCCGTGCAAAAATATTATAAGTTCCTTAAGAGTTCCTTCATTTTATAACGCTAGAGACAGGAAGATAATAGACATCTGGCATTCGACGATATTAGAGAAACAACGTTTCTCGCTCTCTCATTGCAGAGTGTCGTGAACTCTAGCGGCAAAATCAAGAATGGATGCAATGGGTATACTTAAGGCTCATGTTGTTCCCCGGGTGGGCGAACTTCCGTCAAAACCTTTGGAATTATCATATTCAATATCGAAATCAGGTTACACGTTGTGCTGATACACTGGGTAGTCGGTTACCAAGTAAGTGATGGCGAACTGCATCCATAACGAGCGTTTTGTATCGAGCAGCATGGCCGTACACCTCACCCGTCCTGGTTTGACTACACTACAATACCTCGCTGTCCCAGTGACCGACTTATGGTCCGTTTATCGGCTGGTTGCGCCGAAGCAATGTGAGGCTAATTCATTGCTGAAGGTAATTCGCGGTAGAGACAAAGATCGACCTCTTAGGAATTGTTTCACCATTGCTGACATACATTTCTTTATCCTTTACGTTTCTGTCTTTTTATCTTATTTCTTTATCAGCAACTGATATCGATAAACATATCATCGATAGCGACGTCGTTCAGATGTTTAAGTTCAGCCTTCGTCAGAACGGTACCAAAATCGCTACCAGAGAGATCGGTGACCGATTGTCGCTGGCAGTCGTGTTCTTTTCGAACTCGTTGAGGGCCTACCTCGCACGCGGTCCAGTTCGCTGAACGCTCAGAAACAGAAAGGCAGGGGAAACGACAAGTTCGCCATATTGGGATACAAAATGGTCAATATACACGAAGCCATCCACCGCTAAGTGCGGTGTCATGTTTTGCAGTCAGCAGTCAATTACTAGGATGTACGATACGCGTCCACTTAGATGATCATCAGCAGACAG